TTTCCTACAATCAAATCCTAGCCTAAATCCTATCTTGTCATATTGTTGTTGAAGTTGCACGGATTGAACCTAAAGTTTGTACTTGTACTATCTTTTTAGAGGAATAACAAATCAGAGTCCATGTTCTAATGTAATACGAAACGTATTATCAATTTCCTGTTTGCTTTCTCTATTGCCAGATGAATGGTGGCAGAACAATTAGATGATATTTATTGCCACTTTTCTTAGGCAAAATGAAGTTATTAGAACTTGACTTACTATATTAGATTATTATTGAATACACTGATAAGCTATTAGTGACATCCATAGTACCATCCTAAAAATTATTTTGTATTGGTGAGATTTTCTATGGATTGCTTTGAAGCACATTGTGAGACAAAGGGTATAATTAGAAACTATGCTACAAATCAAAGGGTGAAATGCTACCAGTTCAAGCTGGTTCGCCCAAACCAGTAGTAAAAAAGCTACTGTTTGCCCAAACCGGTAGTAAAAAAATGATACCATCCACCTGAACTGGTAGTAAAAAAAACGTTCTGATGATCATCTGTGCTGCGTGATGGTAGAAACTTTTTTCCCTTTTTTTTAAGCATTTAGGTTCCATTTTTGCTCCCAGGAGGCTTTCCTGAGACCTGCTAGGCCAAAACTGGGGGTGGGGGTCCATTTTTGCCCCCACAAGGCTCCCCTGAGGCCTGCTAGGCTAAAAACAGGGGAGAGTTCTGAGAAAGAAAGGAGGGAGGGAGGGAGGGAGGGAGGGAGGGAGGAAGGAAGGAAGGAAGGAAGGAAGGAAGGAAGGAAAGAGGAGAAGGAGGAAGGACCAGAAACCTGGCACTAGACACACCTTCAGAGGACACCTTGAAAGAGCTCAGCAATCCAGTTCTTGAAGGTACATGGAGGTCATCTAGTCCAATCCCCTGCTCCAGCAGGACATTGTTAAAGTGAGCTTCTATCTTTTGACCACTCCCAGTCACATGACTACATAGCCACACCCACCCAGTCACATGACCTCTTCCCCCCACCACCATCACCAAGCCACACCCACAGAAACAGTAGGAAAACATTTAGATTTCACCACTGAACACAAACTTTGCCTTGTATGTACTTATGAGCAGTGTGTACAAGTATGAACAGATGGACATTCTTTGTCATGGCCACCATTGAGAAATACATTTCAATTTATCTACTTGAAGAGTACGTTTTTAGAAGGACCAAGATATACATCTCTTTTTTGAATTAAAGCACTGAATATTTATTTTAATTATGGTACAGTTAATCTGCTCGAATGAAGTATGCATATAGTTAGCCTAGACTAAAATTTAAATAACAAACTAACTAATATTTTGGTGTGTTACACTTTGGTTTCTGCCACCATAAAATAATAACAAGGTTAACTTCTCCAGAATTCTTAAGAAAGCAGCCAAAACAAGCATTATAAAGCATTTAAAATTTAAAGCAATTCTCTTGGCAACAATAAGAAATGATTTACCATTTCTTTTTTCCAAGATCCAGATTCTTGGAAATTCTTATTCTCAAAAACTATCTTTTTATATTTACCTTGTAAATCTTTGATACATGATGATTTTGAAATATTTGGCTTGATTGAAATATTTTGGTTTTTATCTTGTTTCATACCTAAGCCGTGATGAAGTTCTTAAACTGTATGTTACTCTGTATGTATTTATGTACGTTCGGATACAGAAAACATAAATTAAGTACTTTAAAAAGAAATCTTGACCTATTATATGGATTACACACACACACACACACACACACACACACACACACACACACACACACATTTATGCTGATTTTACTTCACAGTCTCTAAGCTTCGCTAGTATTTATTAAGATGCACTATAATTGAATTTTATTCCAAAATAATGTAAGAGTTTGATAACCACTATCAGATTTAAGAGTCAACTATCAACATTTTTATTCAACATAAGATCAGTAAATTAAATGTGTCAATTCTCCCTTAAACTCATTATTCCTTATTATGCACTGAAGATCATTCTCTGAAATGTATGCTAACGCTTCAGTCAAAAAAGATTACTTAAATTTCATTGTTCATGAGCAATTCAACCATAATATAAGTGTATCTAAAGTGTCAGCTACAAATGTATGTGATGATGTGTGTGTAATTCATGGGTCTGTGAGTAGCATAGGTAATTCTGTTCCACATTTCAACTGCTATTTGAAGAGCACCTGATGCATCTATGTTTATGTGGGAAGTTCCACTGAGTTTAATAAGGTTTATTCCACAACACAGCTTGCTAGATCCAGTGCTTTGGGATTTATGGGGAGTTCCACTTCTAGAATTCCCAACAAGCATGATTGGGATTCCTGGGAATAATCTGGAGAACATTCTATTAGGAAAGGCATTATAGGAATAAGTTTAGTATTTCAAATTCTTTGATATCTTAATATTTAATATTACTGTCCGAATTAAATTTTCTTGTAGAAATATTTTTAAAAAAACCTTTGGAAAATAATGCTTCTTTGTTTCCAGATTTTCTTTCTATCGGCACTTTAACACTGTGTCTTTTTCCCCGATTAAAGAAGATATCTAATTCTGTGTTTAACTCAAAAGCTATTTGCATGCTGAAAAAAATGATAGGATTTTGTAAATTAATTCATATTAGCAAGCACTGCAACAGCAGAGAAACGTAAAAGTATTGCAGTTTCATAAAGATTCTTGTTGCAGAAACTTAACTACAGGTCCTAAAAACTTTTTTTGTGTGTGTGTGTGTGTGTGTGTGTGTGTGTTTCCATTCAGTCTCCAGGTAGTGATATATAGGTTTCTCACCAGTATTGAATGGAGAAATGTCTAGCCATCTGAAGTCCTGAACTGGCTTCAGAACAGTTTGATTGCCTTCTTGATTGTTTGCGAGATAACTCTAAGATTGGCAGTGACAGGGTAATTTACTGAAGATTGCAATGTCAGACTATATTCAAGGGGGCTTGCTGGCATGAAGATGTTATTCTCATGACTGACAGGCCACTGGGAGTTTGGTATGCCAATTTAAAGTTCATGGTGTTGTCCAAAATGTACAGCCCATAATCATGCAGTTTGATGAGGTCATTATAGGCATAACTGACTCTCACCCCTATAACAGCCAAAGCAAAGAAGTATTCATAGCTGGAATAAGTAAACACAAATTTGTAGAAAAGAGTAATTTGTTGCATCTTACCTTTGGATCCCTTAATATATTGACAGGTTTCTCTTTTGTTCCCTGCATGAACAAACAAGAAACAATTTTCAATGAATAATTACAAGCACCAGAAATAACTGGGTGTTGTGAAAGAAGTGTTCAAGTTTTAATAGGAAAACCATCTTCAGTTATTATGGGAGTCCAATTCCTTTCTCACATTGATTATATAAAATGAGTGGAATATGAGAAAATATTCTACTTCCAAGATGAAAAAGGACTTCCAGATTAGTGAGGATCACAAGTCACTGACCTTGAAATTAAAAAAGAAATCTTAAGTTCAAATTGCAAAATAACTTAGTAGTATATGAAATGAAAACCGTGAGTGCTATCAATGCTGTTTTCTTCTTTAAAAGTCTCAAAATGATCATGGTGAGTCTTTGCTTATGGAAACATGGCATAAATGTTCAAAATAACTAATCAGATTCGTAGCTTGTCAGACCAAAACATCCATCATCTATTTTTTTTAGGAAAAGCTCACTCCATCACAAAGACATATGGTAGATAATAATTTGTTAAATTTTCTGGACTAAGTATATTAAAATCTTTCAGATATGTTCCAGGGGAAACAGGTTTGAACAATCTAGTTCTCATTGGAGTTTTTAGTCACAGAGATCTATCAGGAAAAGCCAGCTAATCTTTCCCTGGCTGCCACAGATAACAAATCTGAAAAAAAATAGATTAATAAAAGTTATATATAAACAGAGAGATGATATTTAAAACCAGCTTTTATATGCGGCAAACATGCACTCTAGTATGGTAGCTTACATTGAAAAAATATGATGTTAAAGAATCAAAGTAGTCATTTTTATTAAGAAATGGTTAATGGGCAATCTATATTAACAAATAGTAGAACACACACACACACACAATATTATGTTCGTAGAACATTATGATGTGATAGTGCAGTAGTTAGAATGCAGTATTGCAGGCTAACTCTGCCGACTGCCAGCAGTTTGATCCTGACTGGCTCAGAGTTGACTGAGCCTTTCATCCTTCCGAGGTTGGTGAAAATTTGTTGGGGACAATGTGCTATGTAAATAAGAGCCGAGGTGGCACAGTGGTTAAATGCAGCACTGCAGGCTACTTCAGCTGACTGCAGTTCTGTAGTTCGGCTGTTCAAATCTCACCGGCTCAGGGTTGACTCAGCCTTCCATCCTTCCGAGGTGGGTAAAATGAGGACCCGGATTGTTGTTGGGGGCAATATGCTGACTCTGTAAACCGCTTAGAGAGGGCTGAAAGCCCTATGAAGCGGTATATAAGTCTAATTGCATTGCTATTGCTAAACCACTTAAAGAGGACTGTAAAGTACTATGAAGCAGTATATAAGACTAAGTGCTATTGCTATTATAATATTATATTCTAGGAAACATTATGAATGCAAGTTATTATTTGTTGTTGTTATTATTATTGTTCTGTAAAATAACATACATATTTAAATATTGTACTGCCCTACTAATATGAGTAGTGAAATGGGCAGAATTTTAGTTTAATCCGCACATCCCAAAGGTAGAAACTCACAAAAAGCTAAAGCTGAAAAAGTCCATTCCAAAATTGAGAACCATTCTGCACATATCTGATTTTGGCATTTGATGTAGTACTGCTAAAAGCAGTAACAGAGATAATTTGGCATACTAAAGTTACCACATTGTTGAAAATGCTAGGGTATATCTAAAGTTAAATGTGCTGAGATTAACAATGCTATTGTTCAACTTGTAAGAAAGCAATGGTTAGCTATAAGCACTGGTACAATAAAATGACTGGGGAAAATAGCTTATGTGTTCTTCCTTGCAGATGGCCTCATTGATTGTCTGGATCCAGATTGCTGCCTCCAATCGACTTGTCAGAATAGCCTTCTCTGTCGTGGCTCACGTGATCCGTTAGACATTATACAGCAAAGTCACTCTGGTTCAGAAGCTGTAAAGTCATTCTATGATCGAATTAAGCTCTTAGTGGGAAAAGACAGCACTCATATAATCCCAGGAGAAAACCCCTTCAATAGCAGGTAATAATCAAATATACGAGTTTGTAAAGGCATGGGAGTTCTTTTGGCAGAGGTTTTAATAGTGGTTCAACATGGAATGCAGTTTTTACTAGCAAGATTCTTTTCCGCCTCATGCTAAAATCTCATTCTGGATTTTTTATCATGATTTTTTTTTAATGCTGGCTTTGCATACTGACTCCATATGGATAAGGACTAGCATTGCATTTACTGCATGCAGGAAGCTTGGAGAGAAAAGGAATCCCAGCTTTATAATGAGAAAAATATGATGATGCTAATGAGAGTTCGATATGTTCTGGCTTTCAGAAAGAATAAGCCTATATTTCATGTCTCGTGATGATTCTAAATATGAATACACAACATTGGTATAGTGTTTGAGAGGGGTTCGTTTTTGAGATTTTTGACTCTATTCATCCTTTAGTTTCATTAAAACTGTTTTGTAAGCTAGAAATGCTTCCTGCATTTTTTAAATAATTAACATTTCTTGCATTTAATCAGTCAAAATATCATGAAAGCTAAATATCAGTTGATTGGAAATGGAAGTCCTACATCAGATAGATTGATCTAGGACTTTTGTATATCCCAAATCTGGTAAAAGGTGACAGTTCTGGTTTTTATAAAAGAGTTTTGCTGAAAGTTGATAGTGTGAGCTTTGTGACTTGCAGACAGGGTAGTGTTAAAAGCTTACTAGCAGATTCCTCCCAAGGGTTTCCCAGCAAAAGATAATTACAATAAATTACCATCAATCGGGCTAAATCTCCTGAAATACCCCAGTCTGTTCTTGTCTTCCTTCCTTCCTTCCTTCCTTCCTTCCTTCCTTCCTTCCTTCCTTTCTTTCTCCCTCCCTCCCTCCCTCCCTTCTTTTTTCTTTCATTTCTACTCTTCTCCCTTTAGATCAGCTAGGGAAAAATAGAAATGAAGATACTTTGGATCTTCCAAAACCCAAGGAGTAGCAGTGTTGGAAGATCTTAATGAAAAATGTCGTTATTCTACCAATGAATCCAGACCTGTAGACCATATACACAGAATTCCAAATACTCTACAATCGATACAATAAGCCTGGCAAATGTTATTTATTCCTTAACTCCTTGCTCAAACTCTTTGGTTTGGTACATGTACAAAATTCATTATATAGAGAGCATAGATGGATAGAACGCCTCGGGTCCTTCTGCTTGGCTGATGATAGCTGTCAGAACCTTAGGGTCATATGTCTATGGAGATTCTTAGTCATCCAGGTCATGGTTGCCCCAAAGGTGCTTTTTCTGTTTTTTCTTTGAAGACATTTTGCTTCTCAACCAATAAGGTTCTTCAACTCTGAGTTGAAGGGTGGTATAGATTTCAAGCCAGATGCATATGTATTAATTCTGTATGGAAAATCTTTTTAAAAAAAACAAAGGTTTCATTACAAAAGGCATCCCATCACTTTCTAATTTACAGTCAGTGTCTATATTTCAATCTTCTAAGATTTATTCTATTTTATTTACCCTTAAGGTCTGCCTTACTATTCTTCCTAAGCTCTAACTCCTATTCTATATATTCTACCTTCAGGTTTAGCTTAATTCTATCTATCCTATTCTCAGTCCTACATACCATCATCTACTCCTTTGCTGTCCTTATTGCTGGGATGAGTCTGTTGTCAATGAGACTTCACCATCATGGCAGGGGTGGGCTGCAACAGGTTTAATAACTGGTTTGGTGATTGCACACGTGCACGTCTAATGCACTTGCGCACAGCATACAACAATTTGAAGCTCAGCTGCTTACCTTCTAAGACAGCCCCGGTAAGTAGAATAGTGAAGGTGCAGAAATCAGCTGTGCCAGGCGAATCAGCTGAACCAGAGAGAGAAAATATAGGACAGGATAGGGGCGGGGTGGGTGGCAGGGCCAGCTGATCATTGGAACTATCAGTTTGCCTGAACCAGAAGCAGTCCACCACTGATCATGGTCCTGAAACTTCTCTGATATTGCCTATCATCACCACTGGTATTGTTGCATATTCAATATGCAAATACCAGCTGCGTCCTGATTGGTTGGTCGTTTTGACAGTGGGTCTGAGGGCTAGAATAAATACCCTGACAGTTGCAGGGAACGTTTGAATCGCTTGTCGTCGGGGACG